CCGCCAGGGTCGCGCGCCGTCCCCGCCAAAGTCGTCCGTCCACCAAGTCCCCGGCAGGGTCGTCAGCCGTCCCCGCCAGAGGACTCGCCATCCCGCCAGGTCGCTCGTCAAGCTCTTTCTACCAGGTCCCGTCCCCGCCAGGGTTCTCGCGCTGGGAGATAAGGCACCATCCATTTCAGAGTCGTCTGCCAAGCTTTTTTTGGCTTTTTCAGTCCCTGTCAGAGTCGCCAAGTCCCCGCCAGAGTCGTCCGCCGTCCCCGCCAGGGTCGCCCGCCGTCCCCGCCAGGGTCGTCCGCCGTCCCCCTCCAGAGTCGTCTGCCAAGCTGTTTTTGGCCCTTTTGCTGTCACAGCAGAGTCGTCCGCCGTCCCCGCCAGGGTTGCCCGCCGTCCCCGCCAGGGTCGCGCGCCGTCCCCGCCAAAGTCGTCCGTCCACCAAGTCCCCGCCAGGGTCGTCAGCCGTCCCCGCCAGAGTCGCCCGCCATACCCGCCAGGGTCGCTCGTCAAGCTCTTTCTACCAGGTCCCGTCCCCGCCAGGGTTCTCGCGCTGGGAGATAAGGGTACCCAATTTTACTATTGTGCCCCATGGCTAGCAGTGCCAAATTAGGTCTGGTAGACTCGATCTGCTTGGCCAAGCAAGCAGATCTCGAAGCGGTAGCGTTCAGTGGTACCGGCCGCCGCCGGGCGCGGGCGGCCAATGGTTTAAGGATTGGGGTTTAAGGTTTGGGGTTTAGGGTTTAAGGTTTGTGGTTAGGCAGGGTGGACTCCACCTGGCTTTGTGGGATTGCCTCAGTGTTCCTTAGGAGTTGTGTTTCATGTTGCGACAAGAGATTTCCAGTGTTGATGACAAGCGCGATTTGTATTACGCTTCTAAGGTTGCTTAAGTTTAGTTTAAAGTTGAACGGTTTGGGGTTTTGGCTTGAGGGTTTAGGGTGTGGCCCAGGGTTTGGAGTTTAGGGTTTGAGGGAGGCTTAGGTTGAGTGTAGATTTGCAGAACCGGCTAAACGCCCAACCCGAAGTCCCAAGTTCGCCGCAAACATCTAAGTCCAACCTTAATGTCTCACACCTTGAAACCCTGAATTGACCCTGAAGTCCTTAACTCATAAACCCCTTAAAGGCTGGTGACCCACTGGCCGACCCAGAGAAGGATAAAGCCCTAAATCCGAAACTCCAAAGCCTAAGCCCTGAACCTAAGCCCTCGAAGCCTGGACTTCGAGAGGAGGCCAAGAGTGCTGCAGCTTCCAAGGACGACGATGATGACGATGCCACTCGGCGGTTAAGCCCAGGATTGCAGGGTTTTATGTTGAGGGCTGCAACCGTTCAATTCGGAGTCTTGGGCGGGTTAAGTGTTCAGGGGCCAAGTGTTCAGGGTTTAGGATACCGGGTCTAGGCAAGGTCTCTCCGGGTTCTCTATTCTAGAGGCTCCCAATGAGTATAGCGGCTTTGCGATCGTGTTCCGGAAATCGGGTTAAGTGGATTGTGACGCTTTTGAGCTTAAAGTTTGATGTTCCTAAACCCTACACCCTAAACCCTAAATCCTAAACCCTAGACCCTAAACCCTACACCCTAAACCCTAAATCCTAAACCCTAAACCCTAAACCCTAAACCCCATGCTTTTGGGCGTGGTCTTCAGGCGTCAGGGCTTCGGATGGAAGGCTCAAGCCCTTTGCAAAGACGCAGTGGTCGAAGGTTTGCTGGAGTTGGCTAACAAGGGTGCGGGGATGTCCGGATTTCGGAACCCTCCGCTGTAGGAGGGGTTTAGGGTTGAGGGGTGCATCTGAGGACGACAAGGAAGAGGAGGACTAAGCAGAGAGGACCAGCAGCTCAGATGCAATGGGAGATTTGAGCGTATAGTCTGGTCACGCTGCAGCTTTTCCACAGCCGGCTTTGGAGGATTCTGCGGCTCGATCCTTGTCAAGGAACTGAGTATGGTTTCCTTGCTAGAGCAAGTTCGGTTAAAACCCTTTTGCACAAGCTGAGAATCTAACACCCTGCCGCCATCATCCGCAAGATCTAAACCCAAATTTTTGATTTCGTGCATCCCCAGCCTTGGCCTGCCTCAAGTTCAGTAACCTTTGGCCTCGCGAGGCTGGTAAGACTCTGATAGCTCATTCCGAGACCCTGAGAGTGTGGAATCCGAATCACAGTTTGCCATTACCGACGCCCTGCATTAGGGTTTCGGGTTTAGGAGCTCTCTGCTTTCTCCGATGAATCTACCAGGGTCTTGATGTAGGACACCAGGCTCCGACACGATGGTGTAGGCTGCAGAGCTTGTCGTGTCTTCCTGAACCCGCGAATCAAAGAAAGGACAGGACTTCTACTGTAGACCCCTGCCTAGTACAACGACGGACCGCACAACGAATCTCTATAGTCTTGAGGATCCTAAAGACCCCTGAACCGAAGCTGTCATTAATCCCTAAACCTTAAATCCTAAACTAGACTGGGTTGACAGCTAGAACTATGACATCCCACATGTAAGATCATCAAAGGATGTAGAAGGGTTCTGTAGGGGCGGTATTGGGGTTGTAAGTTGTATAAGGGTTCGATATAGGTTCCACAACAGGTTTCTATGAATGCTTTGTCAAATCTCGCATGGAATTTTCCAGGTATGCCGCTGAAGCAGTGACCTCGAAGAGGGGAGCCTCTGGCGGATTTGTCTGTAGTTTTGGCCAAGCGTCTGGGGCTGGGGGTTTCGAGACTGTTTTTTTGGGGTTGTGGCGGGAACGGTTCATGCAAGAACTTATGGCCGTATGCTCAAACCACGTGTTTTCTGAAGCCGGACGCTGCGTCGGTTTACCACTGTTTGCGGCACCTGCACAGTGTGGCTTTCAAGCCTGCAGCGGTGCTGTTGGGTTTAGGGCTTGTGTTGTAAAGCCTGGAACAACGTTTGGTGGTGTCGTTTCATAGCCTGGGCTCCCCCTTGCGTGGACAGACTCCTGACCGCCAGACGTGCGGAGGCAGCAGGTGTTCCAGACGAAAGTCGTGGAACGGCTTCCCGATCAGGTGCCCCACAAGGCCTAACCTTACACCCTGACCCTAAGACTGACCAAACCTCATGTACCCTAAACCCAAGAAAACCATAAATCCCAAACCTTCAACCCTAACCCTTGAACCCAATCTCCTCGTTGCTTTGAAGGGCTTCGCGGTCGCTTCACCTGGAGAATCAAAGCCTGCCCGGAGAATGTGCCCCGAACGGTCGAGGGCCGAGGGCTTCAGGGTTTAGGGTATAGGGTTAAGGGCCGAAGACCCCAAAACCACTAAACTTTACGGTTTAGGGTTTAGGGTTTAGGGTCACTAAACCTGAATAGCCGCAAGGCTTCCAGCAAACTTGGGAAATAGCTCAATGAATCTAGGCATGCCTCCTCTTGAACTACGTGGTGGCTTTTACTCCTTATTGCATGAGATGCGCAAGCATGGTGTCTCACTGGTTTTGTTTATTCTCTATCAGCTCACGCCCTGGAAGCGACCTGAAGCTCTGAATCCCAGTTGCCCGAAGCCCTGACCCAAGCGGAACCCTGCACCCTAAGTCTCGTCACCCTAAGCCCTATATCCCCTAAGCCCTAAACCAAAAACCCTAAACCCCTAAACCCTACACACCCTTAAATCCCTAAACCCCTAAACCCTAAACCAAGAACACTAAGCCAAAACCCTGAACCCACCACTTTTGCGCAACCGGCCCCGATTGGGCGCGTAGAAGGGCGACTCCCGGCCCCTTTGCATTGAAGGCTCAGGCTTTGGCTTGAGGGTAGTAGTCGTAGCAAGGATAGGAGTAGCAGGTGGAGTGGGAGTGGGAGTAGCAGTAGCGGCAGTAGTAGCAGCAGTAGCAGTAGCAGTAGTAGTAGTAGTAGTAGTAGTAGTAGTAGTAGTAGTAGTAGTAGTAGTAGTAGTAGTAGTAGTAGCAGTAGTATAGAAGAGAAGTAGCAGTAGTAGTTGTTGTGGTGTAACAACAACAGCAACAATTAGAGCAAAACAATATAGTGGTGATCGTGATGTTAGTAGTATACTCCAAGTGACTATGACCTGTGGGTTTACAATTCCATGGTCACACTTGGGTTTCTGGGGCTTTAGGGTTCCGACGTTCCCAGGCCGGGAGAGTTCAGCAGTTTTGGGGCTGGTTTCATGCAGGCAGTTCCTGATACCCATTACTTCTCTGCCCCATGTTGTGCTTGTTGTTGATGATTGCTGTTTCGCGGGTCTTCGTTGGCTGCTGCATTGTCAGCAATTAAAACACTTTTTGACTCATGGGGTTTAGGATTTAGGGGTTTAGGGTGTAGGTGTCGCTTTGAAGTGTAATGATGCATCTCTAGAAAGGCCTTTTCCCTGAGCTTTCACCATAGCTTAGGCAGACAAAGATCACAGAAAAACCCTGCAGCTGCAAGTTGTGCAGCTGGCACACGCATCGCGCCGAAAAACGTGGCTGGCTTGGCCATGCGTACGATAAGGGGCTAAATAATTTGCTATACTATCTTAGAGGTTCCTTGTTGTAGTTATAGTTATAGTATAATATACCCCAAAACCGTATTCTGATTGTTAAGGCCCCTATGTTACTGCCTTGGCATCCCCTGAACCCTAAACCCTGTCAGCAAACAGCCGCAAAAAGTTAGTTGTTAACTCTTCACTAGTTTCTTTCTCAGGGAATTCGGAAAGGGCCCTGCCCAACGATCGACTGTGCTGTCGCGGAACCTCATGCGCACTCCAACTTTGGCCCCTAAACCCTCAACCCCTAAACCCGTAAACCCCTGAGGGTTCCGAAAGAGTTTGATATTTAGAGTCCGCCGAAAACCACAGTCTACTTGCTTGGCTTCTATGTCGAAACCTAATAATCTATGTTGAAAATCATATCACGATAGAAGACATGGCAGACCCCAGACCCTTCATCAACACTTAGTAGGCCATCAACACCCTCTAAAACTCGACACCCTAAGCCATAAACCTTGAGCCTTAAGCCGGCAGCTTGGGCTTCCAGTTTTGTATCTCCTCGCGACTCCCCCGTTGCTTTCACGATGCGACGCACAGCGCTTTGCCTGAGCTCTCTGGCCGTGGCCAGCGGAAAGGCCCGAATCACGACGGGGCAAAGGGAGGGAAGACGATTTGGGATTCAGGGAGGCTTTAATGCCTTGCGGGACGAGGGAGAGTTCTGGGTTTTGGCGTCTAACCCCTGCGACATTAGGCAGGGTTGAGGATTGCAGGGTTTCGGAACCCGAAAACTTCAACCTGGGTCCAGGGAGCGTTGAGGATTTAGGCCTTGAGGGTCGTTGAGCCTACACTGGGTTTAGGGTTTAGGGTTTAGGGTTTAGGGGGCCTACACCCCCAATTTCTTTGAGTTTGGGGTTTCGTTGTTTAGATCGTTGTTGACATAGAGGGTTTAGGCTTTGAGCTTGTCTTGGTCAATGTCAGAGATCCTGGTAAAAGTAGATCCCTTAATGGGGATTCCTATAGAGTACCCTTAGTAGTATGGGGCCCCAAATTAGGGCATCTATAGATTTTCCCGGGGGTCTGGGCGAGCACGTTACGTTTTGTGGCTGGGGACCTCTGCAATTTGATTTTAGAGCCAGCTCTTTTCCCAGAGCCAGCGAATGAGTGGTACTTAGGACCTTCTTGGCCATAGGGGTTTGGGGTTTAGGGTTTGGGGTTTAGGGTTTGGGGTTTAGGGTTTAGGGGTTTGGGGTTTAGGGTTCGGGGAGTTTTTCAGCTGAAATTGCACGGTGTCGGCGTTGCATCGAGCCTTCATGGCTTGGGATCGAAGCTCGCCACGGTTAGGTTTAGGGTTTATGGTTAAAGGTTTAGGGCTTCGGCGGGCTATGGTTTACTGGATCTTTTGCTAAGGAACTTAGTTGAAGTTACCATAATCATAACAAGCGAAAGCATATCATTACTATAGATCCCGATTCTGGCAACTTAAGAAGTTGAATTCCTGAACAAGAGCACAGTTTAGGAAGCCTCCAAACTCCAAGCCCTAAACCCTAAACTTGAGAAGGAACCTTAAGCTAGGGAGCTTAAGGCTTCAGGCAGACCGTGCAGGGCAAGAAGGCCGGTGATATAGAAGCCTCAACAGTTCGGAATGAATGTTATTCTTGATGGTCACTGTCGAAGGGTTTACGTTTCAGGGTTCAGGGTTGATAGGATTATCGTGATACTATGATATTCCAGCGAGAAAGAGGCACCGTGTTCAAACTCTTGAGGCCTTTATATAAAAAGGCCCACATGGAGGCTTTAGCCGCCAACCCCACCGCTGCATCTTGAAATCCTTTCACAGCTTCTTCGCTTGATGCGACCTCTACGCTGCCGGCTTCGCCCCTGTTGGTAGGAACCCGAAGCTCTAACAAAGGCACATAGGAGGCCAAAAGCTGTTTTAGCCTACGGGGGTTTAGTCGGGATTAGGGTTCCCATGATAGGGTTCATATCAAGGAATCCTTACCCCAAGAATCTTAAAACCCCCCTTTTGGCCTCCCGTCAAGACACCCGAAAGCCCGACACAGAGGTCTACTTCTCCGAGACTTTCGGCGACGGCTGGGAGTGCCTGACCTGCACTGGCTGAAAGGAATCTAGGAGCCTGCCTAGATCCCCAGGCTATTCCTCCGGTTCTTGGGGTTCTTTGGTATGCATAACGATGTAGAAGCCACCAAAACACTGGCCCAACTATTCACGATCCTATGTTATGACTTGGCCTGATTTGGCTCCAAAGCCTGATCATTCCTACCCCAGGCAGTGTTGTCAGACATCTCCAGAGGTATGAATAATTTACAGTAGCACTCCCTTATCGCTCATGCGCAACCCATATTATTACCCACAAACTCTACTCCAATCAATTTCTCCCCGCCCTTGTCTATATTGCTCAGCGGGCGGGAGTTCTTTGATCTGGGATGCTCTCATCCATCCACTCGCCAGGGCTTTCGGGTGCCAGGGCTTAGGGTTCAGATTTAGGATTTAGGGTCCCCTCAACCCTAAACCCCGAAACCCAGAAAACCCCTGAGCCCCTAAACCCCTAAACCCTAAACCCCAAAGCATGTAGAGGTCTGGTCTTTCTACGGGTGTTGGGCCAATATTTTACCTTCTCTCTCTTTCGGGTCGTGTTCAGGTGTAGGGCCTTAGAGTTCTTAAATCTGGGGATGATTCTCATAACTTAGGGGTACTTAGAAATAGTTTTTAACTTTTGGTTATTATAATATCCCTAAGAAGCAGCTAAAGTTATGATTTTTGCTAGGGTTCTAAGTTCAGTATAGATAAGAGGGCGATTCTTTGTGGCTCAAGGCCAAGTCGTTTCTGAAGCTTTGTATTGCGACGGTGTTCGAGTACCCTACCTACAGGCTCCATGTGGTGTCTTTTCCTGGCTACCCTATGGGACCCTGCATATGAAGTGGTTCAACCAAAACAGGATCGGGGATTCTGGGCACGCTCTGGACTTTCTTCGGGGGGGTTTCAGGGTTTGCAAAGAGGGAGATTCCTAACCCTAAGCCCTAAACCCTCAAAATTCAAAAGCCATCAGCCCTCAGCCTCAAAACTCCAAGCCCAAACCGCCAAGCCCTGAACCCTAGATCCCCAAACCCTAAAACCGAAGCCCTAAACCCCACCCCTAAACCCTCTAAGCCATGTGGGTGGTTGTCAAAACTAGGGTCCTTTTTAGGATCCCTATGATAGTACGGCACCTATTATTTAGGATACCCAAAAAGGGACCATAATTTTCAGAACCACCCATATAAGCACACAAAAACACCCAAAGGAGCCGATGGACGCCCAGCGAGTGGAAGAAGAGCGACGGCACCCAGGGCACCTGGAAACTCTCTGCAGGAAAGTGGCACCTCTTCCAAAAGGAGGGTTCAGGGTTTGAGGGTTAGGGGTTTCAGTCTCTTCCAAAAGGAGGGTTTTGGGTTTAAGGGTTTGGGGTTCAGTCTCTTCCAAAAGGAGGGTTTTGGGTTTCAGGGTTTGGGGTTCAGTCTCTTCCAAAAGGAGGGTTTTGGGTTTAAGGGCTTGGGGTTCAGTCTCTTCCAAAAGGAGGGTTTTGTTAGGGGTTCAAGGATTAGGCTGTGGGGTTTCAGGGTGTAATTAGGGTTTAGGCATTAGAGTTCAGGAAGTAGCACTATGTGCGGACTACAACCGTATTTTGTGAAGTTGTTCAGGCCTCACAGCTTGGGATGTTAGAGGTCCGAGTGTAGCTGGCTGATGAATTTACAGCTTCGGGTTATCCGTTAAGGGTCATGTCTTGGGGTGGATGGGTGGGAGTGCTTTCTACTATCCCTTATTGCTCCTTATATGTAACATGAGATTACAATATGGGAGTTTCCGAGAATTAGGGGACCCTAATATAGCACCTTAAATAGTAGGATCCTTATTATAAAGACCCACAAAAAGGTACCCCTAATTTTCGGAAACTCCCATATAGCCCAGCACAGTATTCTAGCTATCAAGCACCCTTTATCAGCAGAGGGAGTTCGGGGTTCCCGATTGATTGTCCTAAGACGCAGACCGGAGCAGCTTGACTAGGGTTCCTGGGCAGGACGACTTGAGGTAGGCTGTGTAGGCGAATTGGCAATCGAACCGTTGAACACGATTTCGGGTTCGGGGTTTAGGCACTTCTGGGGTGCATGAGCAGGAATTGTGTGTATTGCTGCTCCTGTGTTGAATCGGCTTTACTTCTTGCCAAATAGGGCTGTCCAAATTGTGTATGGCGTTTATTGTCTTTCCACCTGGCGTCATCAAACATCAAACAGCTGGTATCAGAAGAAATTTCCTAGAGTTCTGCGAGACCTTCAACAGCAAAGATTTTGCATTAAACTCCAACTTCCCTGAATCTATTTGCCGTACACATTTTGCACGCTCGTAGACGTCAGGAGGTGTATCGAACGAAGCTGCAGCGCGTAGTATTGATCAGAAAACTGGCTTTTCCATCTAATCCAAGAAGTGAACACAAATCTACACATCATATCAGCTTATACATGAAAACGGGTATACAACCAAAAGAATAAATACAAGACTCATGGGCAACGGAAGGGGATCCTTCGGAAGTTCATTGGGTTTCAAGGTTGCGCGGTTCAGCATCCGGACGCTTCGGAGTCAAGCCGTCGAGTTGTGAGGTTCGCCAACGAGGCTGAGGACAAGGGTGTGCAGACCGCGGAGGACGCTTCGGTTTAACTCAAGGTGAAGTAGCGGTCATGCGTAGAAGGTTGTGCCTAGAACACTAGGTTTTTGGAGGCTGCAGACAGCGGAGGACTCCCGGTTCTTCGGCCTCTCCGCCGGCTTCGACTCCTTCAGCAACGCCGGCAAGGAGCTGATCATCCAGTACCAGGCGAAGTACGAGAAGGACATCGAGTGCGGTGGTGGCTACGTCAAGGTCGGGCCAAAGCTCAGCGACCCCAAGACCTTCGGCGACCCCACTCCGTACAACATCATGTTCGGCCCGGACAAGTGCGGCTACACGAAGCGCACGCACCTGATCTTCAGCTACAAGGGCAAGAACGTGCTGAAGAAGTCGGACCTGGCTTACAAGCAGGAGGGCGAGGGCACGTCGCACGTGCAGCTTGGCTCACGACTGCATGCACAGCGACGTCCTGCAGATTTGTAGTTCCAGAGTGTGATCTGTACTGTTTCTGTTGACTAATACTGTTGGGATGTCTGAGGTACAGGCTGATCTTGAAGCCCGACAACACCGCGAAGGTGGAGATCGACGGCGAGAACATCTACGAGGGCTCCTTGAAGGAGGACTGGGAGCTCTTGGCGCCCAAGGAGATCAAGGACCCCGATGACAAGAAGCCTAGCGACTGGGTTGATGACAGCATGATGGACGACCCGGAGGACAAGAAGCCGGACGGCTGGGTGGAGGAGAAGAAGATCGTGGATGCCAAGGCCACCAAGCCTGACGACTGGGATGACGAGGAGGACGGCGAGTGGGAGGCACCCGTGATCGACAACCCCGAGTACAAGGGCGAGTGGACCGTGAAGCGAATCTCCAACCCTGCCTACAAGGGCTTCTGGGAGGCCAAGAAGATCGCCAACCCTGAGTACGTCGATGACGACAGCCTGTACAAGTACGATGACTTCGGCTTCATCGGCTTCGACTTGTGGCAGGTCAAGGGCAACACCATCTTCGACAACGTCATCATCACCGACGATGTAGCCTGATTGATCCTGTAGCCCGGGCTTCCCCCAGCAGTCAGGGTTTAAGGACCTAAACCCGAAACCCTAAACCCCTAAACCCTAAACCGTGAGTTGCGTGTGGGGACTGGGCTTGGGAGGGAGGAGCTGCCTGGAGCCTCCCAGAGCTCCCTGTAAACCCTACTTGGGTTTATGGTTTAGGGTTTAGGGTTTTGCAATACTTGGGTTTATGGTTTAGGGTTTAGGGTTTAGGGTTTCGCAAGTCTCCATTGTAGTTCCTCTTTTTTGGTTATCCAGTTTTATGGTTAGGACCCTACAATAGATACTTTGGTTAACCAAAAAGAGGAACTACAATGGAGACTGTAGGTACCTGTGTAGACTGCAGTCTCCCCCAGCCATGAGGAAGGCGCGGAGCCGCAAGACTCAGTCACAATTTTCGCGACGCAGTGTCAGAATTTCCCCAAAGCACTATACCAGTGGGTCTTCACCCGTTGCATGTCTTCGCAACATCGCAACCCTCGCCGGAAAGAAAGCTCAAGGAAGAAGAAAGCGCCAATGCGGAGCCCCGAACCGCTAAACCCCTCAACCCCTAATACAATCCCATGAGACTTATCTAAGATGGAAGAAGAAATCAAGGCACCCTTACAGAACTTGCTATGAAAAACCGTCTATGAAGCCCTCCGAACTCAAAACGCTCGCGAGAAAATCCTTGTAACCCTTTTGGAGACCAGGTCAAGGAAGCAGATGCTTTCGTAGAGAAGTGGAAGGCCCTGAGCGAGGTTGAGAAGGCACGTATGGTCTAGGGTTTCAGACGTACGGGACGTTCTGGGGTTTCGGGGTTTCGAAAATATTTGCATATGGTCCATCAGACTGTGGAATGGGGTAGGTAACTTGAAGATTTCGTACTTTGTGACGGCGTTTGGGGGTTCGGGTTGAGTAGCTTGCGAAGAGGATTGCGTTTGCGGGCTTACAGGGAGCACAGTACTCCTTAAATGCCGGATGCTCCTTGAGTTACCAGTAACGAGAGATCATGATTCTGATGCAGGGTGTCTTGCTCAAATAATGGGCACCGCAGGCCCTAGACCGGAAGTTACAAACCATGAAAAATCGAACCTTCACACTTCCTACAGCCTGAGCCTATGCCACTATACTGTCCGAGCCCTGGCATTTGGTTCAGCACCACCCTCTACGTTTACCCAGCCTTATCACGAGCTTGCAGGGCTCAGTGTCTAATATAGGGGCCTCAATAGTTAGAACAGGGTTTAGGGGTCTAGTTTTCTACACTTATAACAAGGAGCCCGCAAAACCCCGGTCGAATTGTTAAGGCCAATACATTACCTTTCGGGTCATTACCTTTCGGGTGGTGTGAGTCCCAGGCCAAGAAGAAGGAGGAGGATGACAAGAAAGCCGAGGCGGGCACTCAGTGCAATATAGTGAAGGGGCCGAAATATTTTACCAAATAGTTACTTTTGGGGTTCCTTATAATAACCGTAGTATAATGGGTCCCAAAGTGCTGTTCTATTTATTAAGGCCCCTGGATTATGTAGATCTTCCTTTTGCTACGGGTGAGCCCTTGCTGCAAGCCGACGTTAGTCGGTCAGTAATTGGGGGGAGCAGGGCTGACCTCTAGAAAACACTGCGTGTGGCTTTGGCTTACTGGGTTAATGCTTGTGCCTGGTGGCTTGTTTGAGCTTCAACAGCAGCCCTCCTCTTGAATTTCGGGTTTAGGTCTTGTTGTTCCTCCGATAACCCGGATTTCCACCTGCACGATGATGCATGTAGATACCGAGCAACTCCTGTTGTTCTCACCCTCCCTTTGCCACTACGAGTTTGCCCTTGCTAGCCTCGTTTCGCGGATTGCATCTCGAAAGATCAGCGGCTGCACAGAAACACCGCTGGGCATTGCTAGATAGCCCTTGACGCATTGCAGCTTTTGTTAATTATGATCATAGTCTCAGGTACCACAGCAAGGATCTACGGTAAATAGGGTTTCCTTTGTATGGTAACCTAAACTAAGTTTTTGGAACAGAACCTGGTTAAGTTCTGAACGCGTTTAGGCTTTTACTATGGGTGTGCCCCCTGCGGTGATGCTGTTCAGATGCTTCCGGCACTACCGCTACTTAGCTACTTGTTTCTGGTACTTCCACAAGTGCTGTATAGCATGTTGCAGAGCAGTGGTTCACAGGCGTCACTTTAGGTTTCCTTAGATACTATCGGTCTCTCCAAAGAGTCCGCATAAGATGCATTTAGGGTTTAGGGTTTAGGGTTATGTTCAACGTCTGTTCCACTTGTCAACGCTCTGTATCACATCTGTCCAGGTCGGGCTGAGGAGGGTTGACATTTTTGCTCGCGGCGAAGACTGCAGCTTTAAAGTTCAAGACAGCGCTTAGGGTTGCGGTTTGACCTTTTCGGGTGTAGGCTTGAGTTTAGACCCAAGCCTTGAGTTTAGACCCGAGCCTTGAAAGAAGGCTCAATACCTCACCCTAAGGCCCAAACCTCAGTGCCGAAGCCGATACCATTTGACCCAAATCACCGATGGCAACCTGTGCGGACAGGAAGCCAAAGCCGCGAGTGCTTCTGCCTCCACGGACGATGACGATGACGACACTTGCATGCTTGGCGCTGTTTGCCCTTGAACACTGAACCCTACACCCTATAAACCCCAAACTCTACGCTAAACCCTGAACCCTACACCTCAACCCCCAAAAGCACAAGTGTAGGACTTTGCGCAAGCGTGGACACATGTACCTATAGTGGCTGTCGTGCTTAGACGTTTAGACATTGCTTCGGACTGTTGAATCTTTTGATGTGTCCTGGCATCAAGTCTCGAACAAAGGCTGTGGGAGATTCAGATCAGCCTGAAAAGATCTACACCCCAAGCCTTATACCCGAACCCTTCACCCCATGCAAACCCTAAGACCTTAACCCGTATAGACCGTATAGACATTAGAGACCTTCCACAGCGAATCCATAGCTAAGATCCAGAAAAGCCAGTTGAAAGGATCATGGGGTTTGGTTCTGAGGGTCTTGGGCTCACCTTAACCCCAACTCGCCGGCCCTGTTTAAGCACCTCTACCAACAAAAATCAGATTCAGACACCCTGGCAATTCAGTATTGTTTTCCCTATATCGAATCGCTACTTCACAAGCTTCCCGGAGAGCATAAACCGCAACTTAAGCCCTCTACGGGGTGATACCCTACTCATTCTCTGGCGTAGCTCCCTTTCTGTGTGACACTTCCTAACCATAACACTAAGTAGCCTCGGAAACGAGGCTGGAGTGGGGTGTGACCTCTGGGTAGTGTCCCACTCTCTCAGGGCAGCTCCCTGTTCTCGTGTTTTGACTTTCCAAAACATCTGGCCCTAGCCGAAGCCTCCCCTCGAAATCGCAGTACTTCGATCTCCCACGGCCTTCATAAACCTCATGTCATGAACCCGAAGCCACGCACCCTAAAGCCGAAGTTTGAGTTACAGGGGCCGAAACACGCACCAATACTAGTATGGGGGCCCAAGCCAATTAAAGTATGCTATACCCTAAACCCAAGTGTCACGACCCCTATAGTAGCTTTGCAGCTCCTGACGCTGGCGAGTTTGCGATTCGGGAGCACAGAGGGATTTAAGGGGTTAAGGGGCTTAGGGGTTCAGGGTTTGGAGTTTAGGGTGTGGGGTTTACAGTCAACCACGAGGACGACAAGGACGAGGAGGAAGACTGAGGCGTGGCTAGCCCTGCTCCTCCTTTACCACCTGTCCCCGGGGGTGGGGCGCTGTAGGGGTGTCTTGAAGCCTTCCGGGTACTCTGCATAGAACCCTTACAACACTGTAGCCCCTAAACAGTACCCTTATACCTCTTTATAGAAGCCTTTTTGCAACGCTGCATATAACCGGTATAGTACTGTTTGAGAGGATAGAAAACCCTGACGAACGACTGAATATGGTTGTGGTGCCTATAAAGCACCCACGAGGCCCAAGAGCCTATGCCCTCGGCCTTTTTGGTTTAATTCTTGCTCTTAGTATGGCTATGCTTGCACACTCATGACAACTTTGTGTGTCCTGGTATCGTAGTGAATCCGAAACCCAGTAAAACCGCTACAAAGACACCCGCAGCAGTCATAGTAGCCCGCACAATGAAACTCATATTAACCCTAAGCCCTTATAACTGATAGTCGGCAGCCTTTAGGGGACCTCAGCGTGAGGTGCTTAGGCTCGCGACTTGAGTCAATAGCAAGTTCAGGCCCGTAAATTACACCGATGTTGCCACCCTTAAGGGAATGGGAACCCCAAAACTTCAAGGAGAGCTTACAGAGCCTTTTCCGACTTAAAAGTACATATAGGGGCATTAATAATTGTCTTATATTATTTTTGGGCTTGAGGGTTTAGAGGCATTAAGAATTACCTAGCCTGTACTATTGTGGGGGTGCCTTATTCTATGTATAGTATAATATACCCCCGCCCCCCCCCAAACCCTACTCTATTAAGGCCCCTATATTACATTGCTGCCATCTTCAGCTCTGCCCCCTGGGGAGCCTCTCTTGGCCAATGTCTCACCTCTAGTGCAGTTGCCCGAGTCTTCAGCTGAAGCGCATGATCCGAATGCAGAGGCCTTTATCATTAGAATAGGGTTTTGGGGGGTTCATCATTTTAGTTCTAGTATAATATACCCCTCCAAACCCCATTCTAATCCCTAAACCCTAAACCCCATTCTAACTATCAAGGCCCCGATATTGCTCCAAGAGGCTGCGTTGATTCCCAACATCTCTATTCCGGCTTCAAGCGCAGTGGTGTTCTGGGCTTCCCTGAAGGGAAACTTCTTTTATGGTTTAGTAGGGTGGTGGATTCTTGAAGGGGAACCATTATATGGAACCCTACACAGTACCCTTAAGCAGGGTTTTAGGGTTTAGGGTTGCTTGGGGGGTTTAGAGTTGGGAACTTCTTTCAAGAGCAGTCCATACTCAGCACTCCGATTGTGGCGTTTAACTGGGATTCTAGGCTTCAGGATCCAGCCTGTGGATTTTCTAATTAGGAGGAAGTTCGGGGGGCTGGAGTGGTGGGCTGTCAATGTTGCATACATGCATCCACTGCTTCGCGAGCCAAGCCCTAAACCCCAAAATCCTATACCGTGGCCGTTATGTGGGAGTTTCCGAGAATTAGGGGTATCTTATTTTGAGGTCCTTATAATAAGGATCCTAGTATTAGGGTACTATATCAAAGTCCCCTATTTTGGGAAACTCCCATGTGCCTGGCGATGATCAGGCCAAAGCCATCCAGCGTAGCCAGATCCCCCCTCGCTGCTTCGATTTAGGCTCTTGGGGGTTTAGAGTTTATACGAAGGGTTCGGGTTTAGCCTTCAAACCCAGCGTCATGCCGCACTCCAGCGGGTGGTGCGCTCTTCGTGTTTTTCGAGGTTTTGCGCTTGCAGAGGCACAAAATCCATGGGGCCTCCGGCATTCGGGGCTCCAAGCGATTGGCCCTTCCGTGTCGCCATGCCTCCCTTGCGCTCCTCGCACTTCGGTCGCAAGCGGACGTCACTGCGACGGATGTCCATGCGTGCGTTTTACCAGCACATCCAGTGTCGCAGCATCCATGCTCGCAGGATGATAACGTCCATGCTACCAGCACACCCGGTGTCGAAGCATCCGTGCCCACAGGATGATATAGTTTTACGTTTTAACTCCTACACACGACATGACGAAAAGCGTTTCGCGCGAGAGGGTCGCAACTTGGTCCGTGTCTTAAGAAAAATCAAGACCTGGGGAATGATTCCTTTCCAAACTTCATGAACAACGAAACCAGTGTAAGTAGTTTAACGGTATAAACCTAACTTGGAACGTCATCAGCGACGAGTGTTGCGCGGCAGAACGAAGGGACTGAACGTTTAGTGCTTAGGGTTTTGGAAATTTGGGGTTTCTGGTGAGCGGTCGGCGTCGTGATGTCCCTGATGCGTCCGCGACGTAATCCTCAACCCCAAGTCCTGACCTCTGATCTACGAAGCTCCTAGACCCTACTCCCTAAACCCCAAACCCCAAACCCAAGCCCTATAAAGTTTTTGCTCGCCATGCTGAGGACCCGGTCTCGGCAGTTTTGTCACCAGTCATGTTAACGACGCCATGTCAGAAGCGCATCGCAGTTTGCACAGTCCGGGATGGAATGGGAGAAGGTCCTGCAGGAAAATATCTGAAGCAAGTAGGCGTTGTTTGTAGGACATGAACCTGTAAATCCTAGTCTTTATAAAGCTTGAACCTTAACCCCTGCACTCTGACGCTTCATGCAGACCCAAAATGACGTTCAAAAAAACACAACCCGCACTCTTGACACGCACTGTCGTGCTATGAGAGACTCTCTAAGCTTTAGGCGCCGGTATCTGTTCATGGACCAGAACAGCCCTAAGAACCATAAATTACATGATAATCCGAAGACAGTGCTGCACACACTGTCGGGGTGTGGGTCAGAGATTTGGGGGTTAGGGCTAGGGTTTGAGGGCTTCAGGGGTTTGCGGAGAGGTTTAGGGCCAAGTTTAGGGCTTATGGGGTTTAGAAGAGTTTGAAACCTTCCTACAGGAGCAACCCTTTCCGTCTCAAGACATTCCTCGAAAAGACCGGCGGCTGCGCCCAGAGCAGCCCGCCCAACGTACCAGCAAGGAAGCTTGAAAATGGACTCCGAGAGGTACTTGCAGGCTAGTGTTGCAGTTTGACCTTTCGACTGATAATGGTGTGGTGATCGTTCAGGCTTCAGGGTGCGTGTGTGCGTGCTTGCGTGCTTGCGCGCTTGTGTCTGTGTGTGTGCGTGTGCGTGTGTGGGTGTTGGTGTGTTTTTTTCGGAAAGGGGGGGTGCGGGGTGCGCGTTGATATAGGGTCTCGGGCTTGGGGGCTTTAGTTTCCCAAGGATACTGGCAAGGTAAGACCGGTCTAGTGGGGTGTTTGTTTCCAAGAAAATAGCTTGGATCTCCTGACGTACAATGTAGCATCTTATGTGAAGGAAACGTGCGAAATTTCTATGCGAACGGCTGAACATCGGAATCAAAGCAGCAAGACTCATCCCATGCCATTTAAGGGTTCGCTGATCGACGTGTGCAGTTATTATACGGCCACGGGCCACGACGTTCTTGCAATTTCGTGGTGCCACCGATGTGCCCAATACAGCAGAGGCATAGCTGCATTGAAGCACCCTAAACTCCTAAACCCTAACCTGAAACCGTAAAGCTCAAAACCTATGACCCAAAACCCCCAAGGCCTAAGCCCTATGTTCGGGGCCCAGAGCGAAACCCCTAGAGCCCTTATATGCACTGAAAGGCCCAGGGGCTCAATTCTCAGCGTCACCGGAGCGGAGGGCCAGTTTGGAGTTTAGCGTTAAGGAGTTTTCGGCCTTCGGGTTTAGGGTTCCCTAAACCCCTAAACCCCTAAACCCTAAACCCCTCAACCCCTAAACCCTAAGGGTTAGGTATAGTTTTTTTGGGGTTTAGGGGTTTGGGGGTTTCGGGTTTTGGAATATCGCCCACCAGTCTGGGCCGCAAAGCCGAAGTCATCATTGCTCTCCCCAACGGTCCTCACCAGGATTTCTGGTTTTGGGTTCAGGGGTTTAGTGTAGGGCTGAAGTCTCATATGGGTGGTTGTCAAAATTATGGTCCCTTGTTGGGTCCCTATTATAGTACGGCACCTACTGTATTATTTAGGGTACCCAAAAAGGGACCCTAATTTTTAGAACCGCCCATCTCCTAAACCTAGGTTCTCATCTTTAGACCTCGTCCCGCCTATGAAGTCTAGGTCGACTGAGGTTTCAGCCTCTCTCGACTCCCCCTTCACCCTTTTAAGTTCTTGCGCTTCCATGTCATCTCACCCCCCCCCCCCAAGATACCAGAACCCCGCTACCCCAAACACCAGCAACAAAACGCAACTCTTTCCCTGCCTCACGGCGCAAACCGAAATCCGCCGCCGCTTCTCAACAGCCCCCCCCCAGTTTTGTGAATTCGCCCTCCCCGCCCTGAGCTGCCTCGACGCAAAAATGCGCACCGCGCTTTGCTTGGGGTCTCTTGCCTTCGCCAGTGGCAAGGCAGGCTACTCTAGGGGCCTTGTGTCTCCATTCTGGCTCGTTTAGGGCTTAGGGTTTAGGGCTTAGGGCTTAGGGCTTAGGGTTTAGGGTTTAGGGTTTAGGACATAGGGCTTAGGGTTTAGGTTTAGGGTTTAGGGCTTGCTTGTTTTTAACCGGCTTTGTATATTTAGGATCCTATAAGTTAACTTACAACAGGGACTACAATGGAGACTAGTGGTATATATAATTCAATAGCAGCTACAAGAATGATGTAGTGATACTAACAAGAAGAATTAAAACGGGTAGAGGAAAACTATGGAGACCTGAAGAAACAACGATCCGGGTTTTAGTTTCCCCACTTCTAGCATATAACGCCCTTTTACACGTCGGCTAATGATTCACGCCTCTATATTGTGCCAGTCCAAAACACATGTAGTATGTGGCCGACTGTGAGACGGGTCAGGGTTTCCTCCACAAGCGGATGGAGGTAATAAATGAAATAGCCGTTGTAGATGCATGAACGACTACTTCTGATAGTAAGCTCATCTTCCTAAACCGCAAACCGTCAGTCGTAAAATCCCAAACCCTGAAGTTAAGCTCCCAACCTCGGTCACTGAGCCTCAAGTCCAAAATCCAAAACCCTGAAGTTAGACCCCAAACCTGAGGGTTTGGAGTTTAGGGTTTAGGGGTTTAATTTTCCAAGGGTAAAAGGAGGGACCCTTAACAAGGACCCCTAGGTATATACCCTTCTTATAGCCATTATATACCCATTATATAGCCCATTCTAGGGTAAGGGTCCCCATTAAGGGTCCCTCCTTTTCCCTTTGAAGGTTTATAGTGGACCCAAGAAAGTTGGAACATGAGTTTAGGATGATTGGTGCAAGGATTCCCCGTACTTTACCTTAAGGGAATGAGGATAATGATGTTCCAACTTTCCAGCTTCTACTGTAAGGTTTGACGGTTGGGCAGAGCTTGGGGTGTTCGAGGCTTCTCCCGGGATTCCGGGTTTCGAGCAAAAGGTCCGGAGTCCGAGGTTACCCTAAGGCCCCATACCTGGACCCCAAAAGTATGTAGAATAGTAGCCTTTTATGGGTATTGGGCCATTCTTTTACCTACTTTGGGGGGGTTTAGGTAGTAGTTCCTTTTTGGGACTACCTTATAGGATTCTATATATGGACCCGAAAAAGGAACTACTTTGGGGCCTTAGGGTATAGCGAATCCCAGAAAGTTGGAGCCATGGGCTTAGGGGGATTAGTGCTAGGATCCCTTCAGGACCTCAAAGGCATGAGGATGCTAACGTTCCACCTTCTGGCTTCTACTATAGGGTTTCAGGTTTTTGTTTCTTTGGGGGGGGGGTGTCCGGTTCAGGGTTCAGGGTTTGGGTTTAGGGTTAGTTTAGGGTTCTTTTCGAGGCCTGGTGGGCTGATGTAAAATCTGCAGCATTGCAGGTCACACCACTTGTTTAGGGTTTAGGCTTTAGGATTAAGGGTTTAGGGTTAAGGGTTTAGGAACGCGATTCCTCTCTCCTTGACCCCTAAATCTTAGACCGCCTCTGCGATGAAAGATGCGGAAGTGGATCGAGTTTGGACTTAACAGGGCAGCCTGCAAGCCCAAAAGGCAAAGGATACGCTCTGAACTTGGGAGAAGGAGGAGCAATCACGAAGCTTCTGCCCCTCTGCTCCCTGAGGCCTGTGAACAGGAAGCCCTGAACCCAAAGCCAAGCCAAGACTCTGCCGCTCCGTTTCCCAACCCTATAAACCCCGCAACCCTCAACCCTAAACCCCTAAGCCCTGAACGCCGTAAGACGGTCATAAAATGACGGCTTGGCAGGTCTACTTCTCTGAGACTTTCGGAGACGGATGGGAGACCCCCGGCATCGAACCTTCTGAAGGGAGCAGAATAGCAGAGGATCTGGGGCTTTGGGCTTAGGGTTTGGGGCTTAGGGCTTGGGGTTTAGGCCTTAGGCTTAGATGCTGCAAGTCTTCCGGGAGTTGTCGAGGCGGTGCATCGTGAAGGTTGGAGTTCTGGGTAGAATCCCTCACCAACTTGCTAGCATCCCTTTGTCATAGTTGGGTAACATTTTACATTTTTATGGGTACTTAAACCCAATAAGGAATGAAAATGTACATTTCTAATCCTATCCCAACCATGAACTAGATCCCGCATCAGCTCACCTGTCTTCGAAAGCCTAGTGCTGAAGAGTTCATCCTCCGAAGCTCAACCCTGCACCGCGCAGCCCTCTGCGTCATCGAAGATGGGGGCGGGAAGTTGTCGAATCGGGTTTCGGAGGTACCTGCACGTATTATAGTCTATTCATTCCAGTTGTGTTGAGTTAACGAGCAAGGCTGCAGGAACAGTACGTTTAAATTATTCTCATTATTACTACTCTGAAATTCAGGATTAGGTTTGGGAGGCTCCTTGTGGCTCCGATGAGGGTTGGCAACATAGGAGGGTTTAGGGTTTAGGGATGGATTTATGGCTTTGCGCTTAGGGCTTCAGGGTGTTGGGTGGGCCATAGGGTTTTCTCCGCAAACGCCGGCGCAAAAATCTAAATCCCTAATGCCTAAATGGCAGCCCCTAGACCATAACCCCCATATCGCACTGCCCGCAAAAAGGCAAGCCTCGAGGATAGTGTGGCATACGATATAGGGGCCTTCCAGGTAAGTCCCCAGGCCCCTTGTGCTAATCAGATTTGGTGTGTGGCTGCTCAGGTTCCATACGCTGTCGTGGGTTTCTGGGGGGCATACTTAGGGTGGTGTCCTGGTTTGGACATTCTTTTGAGGGTTTAGGGCTTGAGGTGGTCTTGGGTTTAGAGAGAAAAGAGCTTTACAAAGCTGTCCGCGCGATAAAGTCTTCGATGAGCGTGTGTTTATGCGAATTCTTGGGCAAGGTGTCGGGAACCGTGGCAGTGTAAGGTCGAAGTTGCATAGGACGCTTTGCTAGTTACAAGTACATGGTACCAAAAAACCCGGAATCCTGAACCCTAAACTATACCCCTATCCGCAATGTGGAATTAAATCCAAAATCCAGCCTGAGGAGCAGATGGACCCCCAGCGAGTGGAAGAAGAGCGATGGTACCCAGGGTACCTGGAAGCTCTCCGCGGGCAAGTGGCGCCCTGGATCTACCAAAACGACGTCTAGGGTATACGGTTTAGGGTGTTGGTTTTTTGGCGTAGGGGAGGGCTAGGTCCTGCTAGGTAGACCTAAAGCTTAAAGAAAGCGCATGCAGCAGGGTTGTTGTGCGTTATTGTTACACTATACGCTCGTATTCATGGCGCTTTGGTATTGGGTGATAGTATGGCATTCTACATAGCTAGTCATATTCGCTTAGGTTGCATTGTGCTGCTCCATTCTATCATGCCGCGTAGATGACGGTATACTTAGCAAGCAACGCCAACAACAATAACGACACACACACACACACACACAACTGTCAACTATTCTAACTACGGCGTTTGCAGTATCCCTTTCCAACCCTAACCCCTTTGGTTTCATCAGCAATTCAGAGGTCTGTGGCTATCGGGTATTGGGTTTGAGGTGTCTTGGAGTTTTGGGTTTGGGGTTTCTTGGGTCTTAGGGTTTACAGTTTAAGGTTTCTTGGAGTTCAGGGTGCCTATATATTGACCACACTCCTGCGAATAGTCGCGTTGACTTTGATGAATGATACGTTGGCGACGACACGACGACGAGACGACAAACTGACCTCGACCACGACCACGACCACCACCTTCACAACTTCAACAGCAGCAACAAGATCAACAAACGCAACAACAGCAACGACAGCAGCAACAGCAGCCGCAACCGCAATCCCGACAGTAGTGGCAAGAGAAGACTAATAGCAACAGCGACAGCAACAGCAACAACGACATTGGCAGCCGCATCAGCAGCAACAACACCAAGAGCTGCTGCAACAACAACAACAATTTATTGGACGCTGAGCGAGCGGGCTCTGCTCATTGCGGGCGAGCAGAAACTTCGGAAGCGTGCCATCCCCGAGTGTGCCGTGAGCCAGCGCCACCGAGGTGAGCCATAAGGCAGCACCACTCCCTTAGAATCTGACCTGCCGACATTCTTATAGAGGTTACGCGGTCTTCGCCCGGCGGCCTTGTAAAGAAACAGAAACAGACAGGCGCTTTGCGCGAGGGGACTGCCCATGCGAATCGCAGGTACCTCCTTCATCCGTTTCTGAGAACTACGACCGAAGTCAGGCCCCGAGGCCTCGCGTAAAACAAGCCAAAACTAACTGACCTAACAAAACCAACAGAGAAGACCGCGCAACCCCTATAGGATCCTCAGTGAAGGAAAAAGAGGAGCCGATGCTACAAACGTTAAAAAGAGAAAGGGCCTAAGTCAAGAAGAGCAGCGCTGCAGACTGTACACAGCAGCAACAGCTCTTGGGCACCAGCCTCTAGGGGATAGGCCACAAGAAGTTGACTTCAGTTACAAAGGCGTTGCCCGTTTTTTACGCGAGCGATGCCCGAAACTCCTAACGTGACAGCCCGACTCACAAAGTCGTCGTCATGTAGCCTCCGTCACCCTCAGTGTGAGTCATTGCGTCCAATACTCACGAACTGGCAGCCGGTGGGTCGTACTCAGAAGAGCCGTCTCCCAGAGTTCCCGTCTAGTGGCGTCCCACACTAGGTAACTCCCGACTACCAGCGATGGGCCGTAAGGATAATTCGTCGTCAAGCAAAAACACGTGGGCCGTCACTCCTAGCACTGCCTGACCCCGTCGGTAACAGGACAGTAACGAACACACCTGGGAGGGCCGTAGCCGTAGCCCGACACCCATAGCACAGCAAGCGCGTCCGCTTAACGACTGTACCCAGATGTGACGTGGAGCCGTACCAGGTAGACACCGTGCTGGAACTGAAGACGTTGGCCAACTCTGCTGAACCTGAGTCCCCAGTGTCCCAATCTGCGCCTTGTCTTGTAGACAAGTCTGGCCCGGCGGCCCCCGAGAGGCCTCCCCCTCAAGAGAGGATAGCCCCTCTAGGCCCTCAAGGGCACCCCATAGCAAGAGGAGTCCCTGGAATGCCCGTCGGGGCCAGCATTGGGAGGATGCTGACGCGTTGTGAGTCACCACGTTGCGCCTAGCCTGTCCTGAGTCTGACTTGCTCCCAGGCGCTGGCGGCTGAACAGAAGTGAAGCGCAGAAAACACTCAACCGTGACGAAGAACTCTCGATCGCACTGGCTTCGTAGCAGCTGGTGGCAGTCCACTGTGCCGTTGAAGGAAAAACTAGTGCTCGAAGAAGACTGCATGAGAATACCAGACGATCCGTGTCCTTCTTGCGGAGGTGTACCAGTTAAAGCGCAAAACCAGAGCGCCAGCAAAACTGCGCAGGAGAGACCGTGAGCTGTACCTGGGTGTCTTGTCGTGTAGCTGGAAAGTCGAAGAGAGGAGCGGAACGAGGCCTCAACTCGAAAGCTTCCTTCAGGATACCCAGGTGCAGAAGATGGCCAACCCATGACTGGGGCCGCCCCTTGAATGGCTTGGTGCGGCAGGTCCTTTTGTAAATGTAAAAGCATCGGCAGGAGAAAAGTACTGAGGCACAGTCGACGCGCCTTCCGCTAGTTTCGCCGGAAAGAGAGAGAACTCGATCCGACTCCCTTCACCCCGCGGAAAGGTGAGAACCCTACCGCTTACCTCTTGCCAAGGTTGTATAACTGCAGACAGAGGCCCGGGAATTGGGACCCGGTAGAACACAGCGGCGCGCGGCTCCGGGAATAGCTATGGCTCAAGAGGACAGTCCCTTAAGCTTCGCAGAAGGGGGCCGTTGCGAGCCTCTAGCGTTGGTACCCAGAGCCTTGTTAGCAATGCTACACAGCCTGCTGTGATCCATAGCGGCTACAACAACAACAACAACAACAACAACTCCCAGAGCATGATACACACAAACTAACAACCAACCAACCAACCAACCAACCAACCAACCAACCAACCAACCAACCACCAACCAACCAACCAACCAGCCAACCAATCAACCAATTAACCAACCAACCAACCAACCAACCAACCAGCCAACCAACCAACCAACCAAGCAGCCAAGCAGCCAAGCAGCCAAGCAAGCAAGCAAGCAAGCAGGCAAACAAACAAGCAATTACACGCATAAGCAAACCGACAAGCAAACAAACAAGCAAATAAACAACACGCAAACAAACAACAATACAAACAACCAAGCAAGCAAGCAAACAACCCAATCAACCAAGCAAGCGCGCAAACGACCTGCCACACAAGCAAAACAACACACACACACACACAAAGAAACAAAGAAATAAACGCGCACACAAACAAACACGCAAGCAAGCAAACACGCAAGCAAGCAAGCAAGCAAGCCAGCAAGCAAGCAAGCCAGCAAGCGAGCACGCGAGCATGCAAGCAAGCAAGCAAGCAAACAAGCAAACAAGCAAACAAGCAACCAAGCAAGCAAGCAAGCAAACAATACAACAAGAAAACAACAACAACAAGAAAGAAACAGACAAACACAGAAACAAACGCACAACCACACAAATCAACGATCAAACAAATAAACGAACAAATGAACAAGCAGCAGCAACAACAACAACAGCAACAACAGCGGCAAACCAGTCATAGCACGAATGGCAGGTAATCGTTACCATAGCGAATGCTCACCATGAAAGTATTGATTGCAATGCCTGAGCTTAGTCGAAATGCTATTCTTAACATTCACTCATGCCAGGGCAAATTAGGGATAAGCACTCTACATGTTTTGGTATGAACATAGCCAGTACAGAAGTTGCATTGGCATAGTTCATAGTGCAATAGCAGTATCGATCGCATCACTACTGACAACACATGGCATCAACGCCTTTCCGTTCCGTGGCCCCTTAAGGTTCGGCAATGAGGCGGAGGACAAGGGTGTGCAGACCGCGGAGGACTCCCGATTCTTCGGCCTCTCCGCCGGCTTCGACTCCTTCAGCAACGCCGGCAAGGAGCTGATCATCCAGTACCAGGCGAAGTACGAGAAGGACATCGAGTGCGGTGGCGGCTACGTCAAGGTCGGGCCAAAGCTCAGCGACCCCAAGACTTTCGGCGACCCCACTCCGTACAACATCATGTTCGGCCCGGACAAGTGCGGCTACACAAAGCGAACGCACCTGATCTTCAGCTACAAGGGCAAGAACGTGCTGAAGAAGTCGGACCTGGCTTACAAGCAGGAGGGCGAGGGCACGTCGCATGTGCAGCTTGGCTCACGACTACACGCGCAGTGACGTCCTGCAGATTTGTAGTTCCAGAGTGTGATCTGTACTGTTTCTGTTGACTAATACTGTTGGATGTCTGAGGTACAGGCTGATCTTGAAGCCCGACAACACCGCGAAGGTGGAGATCGACGGCGAGAAGATCTACGAGGGCTCCTTGAAGGAGGACTGGGAGCTCTTGGCGCCCAAGGAGATCAAGGATCCCGATGACAAGAAGCCCAGCGACTGGGTTGATGACAGCATGATGGACGACCCGGAGGACAAGAAGCCGGACGGCTGGGTGGAGGAGAAAAAGATCGTGGATGCCAAGGCCACCAAGCCTGACGACTGGGATGACGAGGAGGACGGCGAGTGGGAGGCACCCGTGATCGACAACCCCGAGTACAAGGGCGAGTGGACCGTGAAGCGAATCTCCAACCCTGCCTACAAGGGCTTCTGGGAGGCCAAGAAGATCGCCAACCCTGAGTACGTCGATGACGACAGCCTGTACAAGTACGATGACTTCGGCTTCATCGGCTTCGACTTGTGGCAGGTCAAGGGCAACACCATCTTCGACAACGTCATCATCACCGATGATGTGCTTTGGCTGAAGCAGCATTCTGACTTGCGTAGTGGCGGCAACGGAGCTTGGACGCAACCGACCAAACGCCGGTCTGGCTGCTGCTACTGCAACTCCGCTACTCTGCCACTGCTTATCTGCTACTGCTACTTCTACCATCGTCACCACAGAAAGCAGCCAGTACCAGCACCAGTACACCCTTCTAGGAACCCTCAAAGGACCCCGCAGAGAAACCATTAAAGGAACCCGTGAAGGATCCCCCTCAAGGAGCTGCTAACACAGAAACCCTGAAAGGAATTTTTAAGGAACCCCCTACCATAAACCCCTCCCCAGGTGAAGGAGGCGGATGCTTTCGTCGAGAAGTGGAAGGCTCTCAGTGAGGTCGAGAAGGCACCGGTTTTCGGGCTTTTCGGGTTCTGAGGGTTTTTTTCGGGCTTTGAGGATGCTCAATCTTAGCTTCCGTTTCGGGGCTTATTCGGCGTTGAAGGCTTTTTTGGACTAAGGGCCAGTGCACTTAAAAGCAGACCTCTAAGGATCTTCCTGTGGGTTAGTACAGCTTTTTTTTGATCAAGTGAAGGGTCTTAAGGCTGAAGGTCTCTTCTGGGTTTCATGGTCGCAGCTCCTCCCAGGCCAAGAAGAAGGAGGAGGACGACAAGAAAGCCGAGGACTGCCTCTTAGACTCTTCTAACACAGAAGCCTAGACTTGATGTACTACGGTTGATGATACAAATCCTGCATTACCTAAAGGACCTTAAACTATGGGAATTATATGGCATAATCCTTATTATGGGTAATGCATTATTTATATCATCAACCGTAGTATACCGGTATACCCTTACAATCCAGGTACAGCTAGACGCAAATCTGCCCACACACCCTTTTTTTAAGTAGTCGCTAAGGCCTCTATACTGGCTCCCCTCCAGTCTGAGAATGCAGTGCCGATTGTTGGCCTTGAACTTATACTCTGGAATTCTCATTGTTAGGGTCTAGGGCTTAGGGTTTAGCTTGCTCGTCCCAACAAAAACCTAGATGGGAGATCATGGGAACGATCTGGAGTATTGGGTGCAGCTTCAAGCAGAAAGCAAACCTACTAGTATATACTATAAGTATATTTATGATAGTATATACTTCAATGTAGTACAGTATGTCATAATATACTATACACTTCGGTTCAGGGTCTCAAGTTTACGATTCTTTGCATCTGCCGCCTTAGGACCAAAAACCCCTGAACACCAGGTCCTCCCACCTTAACCTGCAAGATATCAAACATAGGCCCTAGACGCTTAAAAATGCCTTTGCAAAGCCCTTATAAAACCCTGCAAAGAACCTTCCAAGGATCATCCACCTGGAACCCCTGACCCCTAAAACCTCTCAAACCTCCGACGCTCAACTTTCAACCCCAACAGTAGTAAACACCATTACAAAATGGAATAGACTTGGAGTAGATTTGGTGCTAGTATTCGTATTACTATTGGTCTGTGATCCTGGTACTGAGTTCTTGCTAAAGAGTTTAAGTTAAGTTACCATAGTAGGGATCTATAGTAAATAGTATGGCCTCTTTATTACGGTAACTTCAATTAAACCCCGAAACCCTTTATGGAACCGTTAAAGGAGCCCTTAATCATGGGAGCTTCACCTATGTTCCCAGAGACTCCAATATCCCTTAAGTATAGAATATTCCTTAAATCATATTAGGGATCCTACTATAGTTTAAGGTATATTCCTTAATTAAGGGGTTTTGGAGTCTCTGGGTTCCTTACCAAGAATCCATGGTATCTGCAGGAGGCGAAGGCAGCTACGGCCTCGAAAGACGATGACGATGACGACGTGCTTGGGCTGTAAGGTTTAGTGGGTTTTTGTATTTAGGGTTTAAGGTTTGAGGAATAGGGGTTTCGGGAGTTTGAGGGTTTTTGGTGGTTTTGGATTTTGTGGTTTTGGGGTTATGGGTTTAAAGGATAGGTTTAGGGTTCCCAGGGTTTCGCAGTGCTCCGGGCTTGAGTACGGGGTCTTCGGAGTTTGATGTTCAGCTGTTGACGTTACCTACTTAATCCTAAAGCCCTAAACCGCAAGCCTTAAATTGGGCTAGGCTATACAGCAGAGCTCAAGCTCAGAGTTATTCAGAGGTTTAGGTGTCAGAGACTTGAGGCTAGCGCTTAGAGTTGAGAGGAATTCGGTTAATGTTTTGCTCCAGCATAATGCGGGTTTCGAAGGGACTGTAAGGGTTTATGAAGGTTCCACAAGAATTTGAAACGGATTTTCACACGAGTTTGAGCTTTACTTGCCGGCTGTTTAGACTAGCAAGCAGGCTATAGCGGATGCCACCTTGTGCAGTTGCACATACAAAGTCAACAGCTTGCTTCCTGTATTTTTGGGTGCTGTCCACTAGTCCCTGAAACCGAGAATTTTCCTTCCAAATTTCAGTCCCAAAGCTGTGCAGTCTATCTCATAAGGCTTCAAATCGCTAACTGTTCATTGAGGGCTGCATATCTCCGACCAAGTATTCGGGCCTTGGGGGAGGAGGTTCGCAGTCTCAGGTCCTAAACTGGGGCGTGTCACTGTTCATGTTTACTTTAAGATCTTAACCAAACCGCTGTTAAACATAGTTTTTATGACTTGGGTGCAACGGAGCAAATAAACCCTAAGCCCTGAACCCTACATTAAATCCCAAGATAAGCCAGACCCTAGCCCTGAATCCTAAACCCTAACTAAAACCTAAACGCTACCCAGGCCTCTGAATTAGGCTAGTCCCCTGTAGGGTTCTTTCTGCTAGGTTGCCATAATATTCTGAGAAAGAGGGGCCCTAATTTAGGGGACCATCCCTTAACTGTTTTCATTTTCGGAGGGTCGTCAGGACTTAGGATTCTGGCAATGAGGTTGTTAATGAGTAGGAGGTTTAGTGCTTTGGGCTTCGGGTTTTGTTGAAGGAGTGGGGTTGCGTGGTTCAGGGCCGTTTTTCTGGAATTGAGTTCTTGTTCCTTACACGAGCCTTTCCCCGAACAACCAAGTGCCTAGTTCCCGACATTCCTGTAGTACAAAGCCTAGCTGGAATCACTAATCTCTCATATTCCTTATCACTATTACTATGGCATACTATGCCCTAAAAACCCCCTTTCCAATCATTGGGATCCCATTGTCACTCGCTCGCTGGACACAGAGCTGCGGTGCATCCAAGAGTCTCAGTAGTGCACTTTCAGACCCAACGGATGTGCCGATTTTGGAGTTTAGGGTTTAGGGTGTGGGGCAACACTTCCGGCAAGGATGACAAAGATGATGAGGAGGAGTGAAGTGAGTCATGACGCACATGCAGGGTGTGGCATGCATTTAGGTTTCGCTATATTCATTTCAGTCTATTGGTTCGTTATGTTTCGACTAGGACAATTTGTTTTGGATCCGTTTCACTCAGTTTTGCTCAGTGCAGTTCGACGGTTGCTGTCCGCTATGTCATACGCACGGCGAACATCTCACGCTGCTGTGGCCGGCAGCAGCGTTGGCGTCTCTGAGGAAGTTGAGACTTCGTCAGAGTGGCAACTCGAGAAACCAAGAAAGACCTGCTTGCTGCAGTACGTGCAGCTTGCTGCAGTTTCTGCACAAAAGAGACTACCGAAGGCTGACGTGGCTTGGCTTGGGGTTCGAAGACTGTGAAACGCGGGTGTCTGAGGATTTGGGAGCTTCACAGTGTCTATATAGATCAAGATCCCCTGTTGTCTGAAAGTCCGCATAGGATTGGACAGCTGAGGCTTAGTTACGGCTGTTCGTCGCGGAAGCTCTTTTGAATGCAGCGGCACAAGGATAGTTTTTGCATAAAGTCTCCGACTCCTAAACCTTTTTCGAACCTAAACCCTTGCTGCGAAGAAGCCGTGTGCCCTGGCCCTACCGCCTTGGGTACTGCCCCCACTCAGTAAGAGTTGGATAATATTCATAATATAGAGATATATGGACCTTAACTGGGCTTTGGAGTACCATGCTTTTTTCTTAAAGGAACCATTATGAAATAAAAGTGTATACTTTTTTCTCCCTGGTTACTTAAAAGCCCAGTTACTAGTAGCCCTATTATAGCCTGTTACTGTATGGGGGCCGTACCCAACTACCGGCCTTACAGTAGAAGCCAGAAAGTTGGAATATCATTATCGTAACCCCGTTAAGGTAAATTATAGGGGATCCTACCATTAATCCATATTCCAACTATCCTACCATTAACCCATATTCCAACTTTCTGGAGTTCCCTTTAAGACGGTAAACCTTGAGCCGTGGCCCCCGGCAAGGCTTGGCCCTCAAACTTCTCATCTTCCGGGGCTTACCCAAAGGCCCCAAAGTAGTTCCTTTTTGGGGTTCACATAAAGAATCCTATAGGGTAATCCCCAAAAGGAACTACTTTGGGGCCTCTGGGTAGTTCATATGGTGTGGGGTTTAGGGTTTAGGGTTTGGAGTTTAGAACCTAAAAGTTTAGAGTCTAGAATATAGTTGTAGGTTTGTATGGTTCGGGGTTTATGGCTTATAGGGTTTACGGTTTGGGGCTTAGAGCTTGAAACATAGTTGTAGGTTTGTATGGTTCGGGGTAATTATAGGGTTTAGGGTATAGGCTTGTAGGGCTTAGAAGGTTTGTTGGGGTTAGAGCTGATAATGTTAGGGCTTCTAAGGTAACCCGAAGCCCCTCAAGTTGGCAAAATAATGGCGTTACACCCAACAGAGGCTGATATTCCACATATTTTGTGGCGTCCCCTTTCGGGCTCATGCGGTTTATGGGTTTAGGGCTCGGGAACTGCAAGAACCTGCCGTGACGAGCCCCAGGCCAGGCAGTCGTATGGAAGGCAAAGCTCGTTGTGCAACAGTTACCAAGCGGCCTCCGGTTTGGACAAGATAGAAACTTAAACATAGAAGCATTCACATGTTGGTTGTATCAGAACGGGTTGCACAAGTCGGGGGCAGTTAAGTCACTGAACTACTGCAAGAAGTCCTCCTTGTGACCCTGGACATTTAAGCCTGATATAGCCTCTGATTCAGAGAAAGAGTTGAGGGTAGCCCAGATTTTGTCGGCCATTGCATTCCGCCGCGGCCCTAACACCAGCCAGTTTTGTGAATTCGCCCGCCCACGTCCCGCCTCTGCCGCATTTCGCTAGACACCATGCGCTGTGCTGCGCTTTGCATGGGCTCCCTGGCGGTGGCCTCTGGCAAGGCAAGTTGTGGGGCTTGATTCTTGCATGTGCCTGCAGATAAGGTCGCAGACCTTCCAATGTCACTTCATTGAGAAATTGTACGTTAGGTCTTAAGTCATAGTAGGATCCGTATGATTTAAGGCATGTTCCTTGGCTAAGGGGTATTGGAAGGTTTGCAGTTGCCCGCAGTGTAGTCTACAGGCTCACAGTTCCTGGACACGCTGCATAGGCAAGCAAGCAGGCGTACATGGATATTGCGCCACTCTTTCTCTTGTTGTGCTATGGCGGGCGGTATCATGTTCGTACGTCTCTGTGTGTGCGTGGTGTTTTGTCGTATTGAGGTGTTTTGAAAGTTAGGCTTGTCCTTTGCAGTCATTTTGTTTGCGCCGTGATGCTGTTGCAGGTCACATTGCCAATGGTATGCAGACTGAGATTGTACAACTACTGTACTATTTAGAGCATCCTGGACTATTCTCAAAACCTTAAGGACCACCCTGGCATGGGACTTAGTAAGTAAGGTTATAAGTACCTGAAGTGGGGTTATAAGTATAGTTACCCTATAATTATAACCCCAGTTGCTAAATTTCCTAGTTCCTGACACTTTTGGCGGCGTAGTTACTATAGGGGCTCCCAGAAGTTTCAAGCACAGATATCCGTTTGTTGTCCCTCTCATCACTATAGCACCCCTCCCCCATCCATTTATTAGGGACGAACCCGTAGAGCCGACAAAAGCTTAAAATACATATATTGAGGCCCTGTACGACACGAATCCTAGACCCTAACGGTCGGAAGGTGTACTTCTCCGAGACATTCGGTGATGGCTGGGAGCTTCTTGTTGGCAAGGGCTTCCGGTTAGGGTTTAGGTCCTTAGGGTGTGGTTTGAAAGTTAGGGTCTAGGTTTTGGGTGTAGGATTTGGAGTTTGGGGTTTTGGATTTGGGGCTTCGGGTTCGGGGCTGTTAAGGAGGTACTCCAGGGCTGCTATCCAGCAGGAAACTTAGGGAGGATAGATCCTCATGACTTTGGGTTGTCGGGTTCTTTTAGGTGTTTTTTTATAATTTTCGTGTTTCAGGGTTCATGGTTTTATGGGTTTAGGGTATTGGGCTTTAGGTGCTTACCGTGCTTCGTGCTTGAGGGTTCAGGATTTAGGGTTTTAGGGTTTTAGGTTGGGAGGCTCAAAGGCTCAAAGCTCAGGGCGTGGCTTAGTGGTTTCATCCCCCCCACATCGCTTCGCGAAGGAAGTCAGAGCAGCACTGTTCTCTCAAGGGGAAAAGCAGGGACCCTTAGTGGGGACCCCTACCCTATCATGGGCTATATAATGGGTATATAATCGCTATATCAAGGGTATTTACCTAGGGGTCCCTCCTTTTACCCTTGGATTCTCGGAATATCGTAACTTAACCCTGGCACCAGCTGGGAGTTTCCGAGATTTGGGGGTCCTTATAATAAGGATCCTACTATTTAGGGTATCATGAAAGGGTCCCCTATTTTCGGAAACTCCCAGCTAGACGTCCGAAATCTCGACGATGTTGGGCGCCACATTTCGTCGCACCACCATGCACGCGCTCGCATGCATACAAACCAACACACAAGTAAACAGAATCAGGCACAGAAACTGAGGATATGGTAGGGTTCCTTTAAAGGGCTACTATAATAAAGGTACTATAAGGGTTCCTTTGACATGCAAGGAGCCGATGGACGCCCAGCGAATGGAAGAAGAGCGACGGCACTCAGGCCTTTTCCTACTTGGAAGGGCAGGGGACTTAGTAAGTAGCTTATAAGTAGGGTTATAATTACCCTAAATGGAGTTAGCCCAATTATAACCCTGATTATAAGCTACTTACTAAGTCCCCTGCCCTTCCAAGTAATCGCTTTCTGTGCACGTGCCCAATTTGTGGGTTGCTCGGAGTTGTGCGGTTCCCAAGCAGTTGCGGTCGAACTCAACGGTTTTTGTACTTGGTGGACAAATCAAAAGGGCTCATAAAATGCGATGTGGTCTGCAAAGTTTAGTACACCAGAACCCTAAACCCCTAAGTCCCAAACCTGGGGCTTGTAGGGTTTAGGGGCTACCACAACGATTGCAGCACCAAGCTCGAGAACCATGTTCCCAGCCCTAAATCCCCTAAACCCCCGAAGCCCAGGCCCAATAACGGAAGTGTGGCTCATCTGGAAGATCATGTGCTTTCCTTATCATGGTAATTTAGATAGCCCCATGCAAGCACATATGTAAGGTGGCATAGAGCCCTGACTAACAACCGTTACAAAAGCCGTATAGGCTCCGAAAATACGGATGACAAGAACTCTGCGATTAAAATCCCCGAGATGGGAAAATCGTAAACCACAAACCATCATCCTCGAAACCCTCAAGTCAGAACCTCAAGCCCAAAACCCGAAATCCTAAACTAAACCCAAACTTTGGGTACTGCCCCCACTCTGTAACAGTTGGATAATATGGATTGCTATAAATAGCCCTTGAACATGACCCTTAATATAGATTGTTACGGGGTGGCAACAGTCTATACAGGGTTCATATTCAGGGCGGTATATAACCGACTACATTATCCAGCTGTTATAGGGTGGTGACAGTACCGAACCGAAACCCCTGAACCCTAAACCTTACACCCGAAACCCCTAAACTCTAGACCCCTACACCTAAACCCTAGAACCCCAAGCCCCCAAATATCCTCAAAGCCTTAAACCCCTAAAGCCCTAAACGCCCAAACTCACCAGAAGCGTCGACCAGGGAACTTGGAAGCTGTCGGCGGGCAAGTGGTTTGCCAACGAGGCACAGAGTTTCTTTTGTTGTTTATGTTTAGGGTTTAGGGTTTAGGGTTTTCCTTGTGCTTTCTTTCCAGACTTTTGTGCTAGTTGTTTTTGCTTTGTATGCTGTAGTTGTTGTTTTTGTGGTCTTTCTTGTTGTCTTGCTTGCCAAACGAGGCAGAGGACAAGGGCGTGCAGACTGCGGAGGACGGGGTCGAGGGGTCCAGGGTTCAGGGTTTTAGAGTTCATTCGGGGCTTTTAGGGCTTGTGGGGCTTAGGGCTTAGGTTTGAGACTTGGGACTAAGCACTCTAGTAAGGGGTGTATCCAGGGTGGCCTGGGTTAAGGAAGATACCCTCAGTGAATCGGCTGAGG